TTATGTGTTTATTATATAATCTTATGTATATATATAGTGCTATATATTTATATGTTGTGTTATATATTATAATTTATTATAATGATAATGGTAGGTAATATTATTTAGATTAAACATATAAACTACTAAAAAAAAATAAAATCACATAATATTTTATTACTTGTATTATTACTCTTATTACTTTTGATATTAATACTACTAATATTTGTAATAGTAATATTATTAGTAGTATTAATAACGGTATTACTATTAGATTTATTATTAGTAATAATATAGTTAATATTAATACTACTATTAAGATTTAATATTGTTCTTTTTTGTTTATTTATTTTGTACGGTATTTAATATAAAATAATAAATAACAACACATCAAATAAAATAATCGATAGATAAAACATAGTTTTGAAAAGAATACATATCGATTATATATATATATATATATATATATACGTGTTGAAACAAACAAACATACATACCTATGTAGATCATATAATAAAAAAAAATATATAAATGAATACATAAAATATAAGAATACGTATCGAATTTATATATATAATTACATATCCTTTATATATATATATAAGAATTATATGATAAACGTGCAAAATAAAAAAAAACATATCGATTATATATATATATATATATATATATATATAAATCAATATATATAACAAACATACAAAATATAAATGAATACTTGTTATTAAAAAAAAAAAAAAAAAAAAAAAAAAAAAAAATATATACATACCATACAAAAATATTTATCGAAACAAACATATGTATTAAAGAATAAATGGTTATAAAAATATTTGTCATATTAAAATACATATGTTAGAAAAATATTTATCATATTGAAAAAAAAAAAAAAATAAGAATAAGAATACAAATAAATATATGTATATTTATTTAAAAATATAAATATATATTTGTCTCGCATCTATCCAAAAAAAAAAAAAATTATATGTAGTATATGTTGTAGATATTTTAATAAAAAAATTAAAAAAATATTATTATTAATATTATTTATTTATTTTTTTTTTATGAAATCCTAATATGAAAAAAAACTAATATATATATATATATATAATAATTTTAAATTAATATAATATTTTACCAATCTATATTTATTGCATAGAATATACTAATTTGTGAATTAATATATTAAACAATATTTGCAGTAATATATGAAATAGAATAGGAAATAATATGTAAAGTAATATATAAATTTATATAAAATATGTGAATTATTAATTAACATACAATAAAATATATCAATGAATATAGTATAAATGAAATTAAAATTAAAATATAAATTAAAATACGTAGTAATATACAGAGTAATATATAAAGTGATTTATACATAAAAAAAACAACAACAAAAATATAAAAAGAAAAATTTGAATATCAAAATGTTATTATATTATTAAAAATAATTGTGCTTTTTACATTTATTATGTGTTTATATTTGATGTTATTTATATATTTTATTTATTTTATTTTTATAATAGTTAGTTTTTTTTCTATATATTTTATATTCCCCTTTTATTCTTTGTATTATATCCATTACTAATAAAAAACAAAAGGAAAAATATAATAATCATATTGAATAAATAAATATTAATAAATACATACAAAAATAAATATATAAATATATATATTATATGTCTTTTATTCATGATAATTGTCAATATAAATAATATATTATTAATTATAATATATATATATATATATATATATATATATATAATTTTTTTTTTTTGTTTAATACTATACTTACTATAACAATAATAATAATTATTATAATATAATATACGTTTATTTGTGTTATTATATATTCCTTTATATAATAACTGGTATAAAAATGTAATAAATATATGTTACATTATGTTCTAAAAAATATTATATATAATGATATATATATATATATATATAGGTGAAGTAATTAATATATATTAAAAAATTCATTATTCATTAAATAATAAATGTCTTACAAAATAAATAAATAAATATGTAAAAAAAATTATAACAAAATAATATATATATATATATAAACTTAATGCGTATAAAATATTATTATTAATAATAAAAATTGGTTAATTTTAAAAAGCAAAAAAAAAAGAAAGAATTAGTTGTACCACATTACATATGAACAAAATCAAACACTGCATATCTATTCTTTTAATAATTTTATATATAGCACGTTTTTTCTTCATTTTTTTTTTTCTTCGATAACATAAAATTAAATAAATAATTACCATAACCAAAACTATAACTAATATTGGAACAATTGAATAAGAAATTAAGGTGTCCAAATGTGTACTTGCAGTTTTTTCCACAGCAATCTCATTAGAAATAAATTGAGTAGAATATTTAGTAGTAGTTTCGGCCGCTACTTTTTCAGAATCTGTTGCTATAGTATGTGTTTGACAAAAAATATATTGATCCATTTGAGTCTACGGAGTTATAAAATAACGGATTCGGTTGATCCAGTCGATATTTTGGTGCATAGATTATAATATGAATTCTGGAATATAAGGAATAAGCGAATTTACATTATTAAACGTTTTTTCAGTAACTATTTCTGTGATGTCAATACCCGGTAATTGATAAAAACCAAGCCTTCCATTTAACTAATCCATTGTTGCTTCAACACACTTAGTAATAACGGCAGAAATATTTTTATAAATACCTATTCCCTTAGCAATTTCAATAGCATCTATTTTACACCCATAGGTCCCAATTACCCCTAATAAACCTAAAGATACCATCACTCCTCCATATTTCAAACATCTGTTTTCCATTTTATCTGCTAACGATTTTTCACAATCACGTGATGGCATATCCACAGTCGTTATATCAGTGTGTAATACGGTCAATTGTTGTTTTAATCCTTTTGGATTTTATCTTTTAAAATAATTTATTTAATTTCTTTGTGACATTGTTTTTACATTTATGTTGTTTTTTCGATCATACTTTCTTAGTAATCGTGAAAATCGTGTTCTGTTTGTCGATTGAAAATTTCTGCTACTTTTTGTATTCGAGGTTATTATCATAAATGGGCGTATAGAGGTCGCATTCTCACAATCACCTAGTGCTTCGTGTATTAAATGGTGTATGTGATGTTATGTATGGGTTTTTATGGGTATTTATCTATAAAAAATGTTGACATATATATGTGATTTTTTAGGTGTAATTTAAGGTTTATATATATTTGTTATTATTATATATATCTATATTTGACTATATATTTAAGGTATATGGATATATATAAATATAATTATTATATATAAATTATGTTAACACACATATATATATATATATATATATTATATATGTTATTATTGTCATTATTTCGTGCCTACAGAATATAATGATAATAATAATATATTAAATAATGGAGTTTCCTTTTTATTATTAGATATATAATATATTATGATTACTATTATGACTAAATAATTAATATATAATAAGGTTTTTTAATTTTTTTTAATGAATACATATGTTTAATCTAAATATTATTATAGGATTATAATATAAAACACAATTAACTTTTCATTATACAAACATATGATTTTACTGAAGCCATATTTACACCTTTTTTTTTAGAACAAAAAATATAAATAAAATAAATCAATTAATTTTAAAAAAAATGATATAATAAACATTTCCATATTTTCTATAATTTAGAATCCTAATATCTAATATAATTTAATTTTATGTTATAACATAAATGCTAATACTAATTTTTTTTTTTTTTTTTTTTTTTTGCTTCTTTTGTTTATATACATGTTTATAGAAGTAACATTAAGGTAACAACTAACATCATATTTGTTGTTGTAAATTATATATAAATGTGTATATTAATAATTGTTAAAGATGTTCAACACATATATATTACAAGTTTTAGGATATATATATTAATACATATGAAATAATTATTCCAACATACATGTTTGTATCATTGAAATTATATAAAACCATCTACAACAAACAATTATATCATAATATATTATATGAAGATTTTTGCAACTCATAGTATATATATATTAACAATTTCATTTTGTTATTTTTGTTGTCTTTTTTTGTTCTAAAATTTATTGTATGTTATACTTTTCTCTATAATTTATCTATGTTGTTACTAAAATGAATATAATAAATTTATTATTATTATTTATTTATTTATTCTTTTTTTATTCAAAATATTTGAAAGCATTTTATGCCTTCATTTATTCATAATTTAAGTATTATATCATATATTATTACAAAAAATTTTATTAATATTTATTATTAACAAGAAATTGAAGAAAAGAGAAAACATGTATATAAAAAATACCACATTGTATAATTTTATATAATATTCTACGTTATACATATATTATATTAATAATTTATAGATTGTAATATGTTCATAATATATCTTATATTAAATATTAAAATGGTATATATACTATTCTCGAATTTATTGATACATTATTTATTTTTCTATATTGTTATTGGTAAAATGAAATCTATACTTTTTAATAATTATATTATATTGATTGTTATATATATATATATATATATATATATATAATATATTATATATATATATATATAAGAACAACAGGATATTATATATATAGTAATTAATATAAGAAATTACATAGTTTTAATATTATGGTAATTACTAATTATAAAAGAAAAAGCTAGTGTTTATAAAAACTTTTGAATAACCTATAATAATTGCAAGTATGAGAAAAAAAAAAAAAATTATAATAGAACACATGAAAAGTCTTATTGTAACAGAATAAATTATGTTATATAAAATAGTTCTGTTACCTTATAAAAGTCCCTTTTGTAACATTGTGATAAATGAATAGTTAATTGTTATATTTTATAAGTTAATAATTTTACGAACACATGGAATATTAAGGTACATTCATATGCATATATATATATATATATTTTATTTAATATATTTTTCATAAAAATTAATAAAAAAATATATAAAAAAAAAAAAATTGCGCCACCCCCCTCCGGGTAACTCAGTAGCTTGGCCTGCACCTTTTCTTGCGAAATTGTCGGCAAGCGGAGTCGAACCAACGTTCTCACAAGGAAATCATACAGTACAAACGACTGAGCTACTGAGGCAGCTTAATAATAGTACTAACATAAAAGTATTATTAAAAATGGAATGTATGCACATAATATATATATATATATATTTTATTCTTTATATATGTACATATATAAAAATTATATCAGAAGAAATAATAAATTTTTTTATATAAAATAAAATCTTTTTTTATTTTAAAATAAATAAAAGAATATTTTTATATGTATATATATATTTATTTGTATATTATTTATGATAAGAGGGTAAATTCTTTTTTTTTTTTTCATTTTGAATATATAATTATTTATATTAAAAAAAAGAAAAACATAATATATTTATTTATATAATATATTTCCATTTATTTAATTTTATTTAAGTAGATTAATAATTTTAAAAAATTAATTGTTTATGAAATGATATGTGGAATTAACATCATTTTTGTTAATTATGTATGCTTGCATACTTAAATGTAAGTTTTATAATATGTATATTTTATTCAAGAATGTAAAATAAATTTTTTATGTTTATATATTCCTTTGGTATCATTAGGAATATATATGTATATATATATATATATTATACAATTGGTTCTTTTATATTTAACTTTATTCACACGCTATTTCTATTTTAACTTATAACAAAAAATATTTGAATTACTTCTATATACTAAAATAGCACACTCTTAACATTTTATTTATAAAAAATTTTAAAAAGGTTGTTTTCTTTTATAAAACAAATTTCATATATTTTTATGTTTTTTTTTTTTTTTTTTTTTTTTAAATAATTAATTAGAATATAATGTTTTAATAAAAACATTAAGAACGATATATTTTGTAATAATTATCATGTATGTAGATGTTATAAACCATATATTTAAATATTAAAGAAAATAAAATATGTCTTCCATATTTTAAATATGTACTTTTACTAATCATGAAATAATTTAAATGTATATTTTAATAACCAAATATAATTTTATATTGGTACTATATAATATTTGTATTATCACATTATAAATATTAGTTTAATTATTTGTATAAGTGCGAAATTTATAGCACAAATAAAATGGGAATAATAAAATAAAAAGAATTAAATTAAATGTATATATTATATATTAATAAGAAAGAAAAAAAAAAAAAAAAAAAAAAAAAAGACTCACAAATATGGTATTAAAAAAATGATTATTTTGGGAGTATTAATATTACTCTTAAAATATGTTAGTATATTAAGTAATAAGACAAATATATATATATATATATATAATTTAAGGTGATAACATTACTCAGATAGAATATTTTTATGATTATACATGGATTTATATGATATTACCTATTTAAAATATTAAAAAATTAAAAAATTTTATATCATTATGGTATCAATTTAATGTTTTTCATAAAAAGAATATGAATTTATGGTATTGATAAAAATGAAACAAAACAAAAAAAAAGAAAGAAATGTATGATGTATACAGGACAATAATCCTTTTGAATATATTTATCAATATTTAAAATGAAATATTAATAAAAAATATTATAATAATATTTAAATTAATAAATAAATAAATAAATAAATAAATAATAAATAAACATTTAATAATTTTTATATATATATTAAAAATGTTTGAAAAAAAAATAATATACTTAATATACATTATATATATATATATATATATATATGTGTGTGTGTGTGTGTTATATTTTATAAATCCTTAAATATTCATTTTTTAATTTTCTTTTTTACTTTTTTTTTTTTTTTGTCTATCACTTTGTAATAATTATTGTTTAGTATATTATGTTGGTAATCATTTTCATCAGAATCTGAGATTGACTGATTGCTATTTACATCTAACATGTATTCGTCATTAATATATCTAGAATTTGGAAATGTTCCACTATTAGTTACGTGAACTAGCGATTTTGCATCGATTTCTTTAGAATAGATAGAACCACTACTTGATGTTGACCAGAATTTCAACAATTTATCATCTCCGAATGATGTAAGTATATGACCAAGAGGATTCCAATCCAATAAAGATATAGATGATATTTTATTATCCATACCATGTGCTGATACAATTGTTTGAATACATTTATTATCATTAGTACTATAAAATTTGATATTTCCTTTATTATCTGCACTTGAAAAAATATGGTTTTGTATAGGATTCCAAGCAATATATGTCGGTTCATAATTAGCTGTAAATTTATTATTTTGTATTTGATCATTTTTATATGAATATAATAATTTGAAATTTCGAATATCCCATAATTTAATTATGCTATCCTTACTACAACTTAATAAATATATACCATTGTTATTCCATTTTATTTTATTTACATTAGCTTTATGTGAATTTAAAGAAATGATAGGTTTATTCATTCGTATATCCCAAAAAGATATGGTATGTGTTCTATTACCACTAGCTACTATATCATTAATTGGATTCCATGCTAAACAGCTAATATTATTGGTATCAATATTCTTACATTTTAAATCTTTTATAATTTTTC